AACTCATTCGACTCAGCCTTGCCTCTGCCCGTCATGCTCTTTAGTATGTAATAAAATCCCATCAGGGCCAACAACATAAAAGCAACGGTTCTGTGCCAGCCCAAAAGTCTCCCTAGCCAAACCTCGTCTCTAGCGGCAGCCACAAGGAGACAGGAGAAGGTCCCACCAGGCTGAGTGCTCCGGGGCTGGGAGGACAGCAGGGAGGAGGACACGTGGCCTTGCCTCTGCCCGTCATGCTCTTTAGTATGTAATAAAATCCCATCAGGGCCAACAACATAAAAGCAACGGTTCTGTGCCAGCCCAAAAGTCTCCCTAGCCAAACCTCGTCTCTAGCGGCAGCCACAAGGAGACAGGAGAAGGTCCCACCAGGCTGAGTGCTCCGGGGCTGGGAGGACAGCAGGGAGGAGGACACGTGCCCTGCCCGTTTTCCGTAGATAGGGCAGGGTTAGGGGAAGGGGCATCCCGTCTCGGCCTGCCCCGCAATGAGGGTGTGTCTCCTTCCAGATCTTGAACAACGGGGGCACAGCCAACATCCAACAGTTCTGTCCTCACCCCCCTTCTCCACTAATCCCATTTCAATAACATACTGAAGGCAAGCTCAGATAGGGTCTATTTCCACTTGCAGTAAATATTAATTAAACAGTAAATTAACCACAGCCACAGCACCCCCCATTCCTTCTCCTACCATAAATTGAAGAACAACTGAAGTGAATGCTCATTACAAGAGCTGCAGCAGGAACAAGGAAAAACCAAACAAAAACCAAACAGCGGAGGACACACTGGTGAACTCCGAATCGTCGTGGTAACCAGACAAGCTGTAAATTCTCCAACACCACACTTGGCTGTTCTAAGCAAACTGACGCCATGCCAGCGCTGTGAGGAAGGCTGGCGGAGCAGCTCTGCTGATAGTGCCTGTTACCCCAGCTGCCCTCTGTCAAACTACCAGCTCCTCACCCCATACTCCAGTTGAACTTTGCAGTATGAAACGCAGCACACCCCCACCCAGGGTTATTAAACACCTCTTTCCCCCATTCTCAAAAATGTTCCTGTTGCCCCAACCAGAATTTTCCAGAAGAGGAGGGCAGGCACCTGCTGTTTAAACTGTCAGCCTGGGCGATGCAGCTGCTTTCCAGAGAAGGGCAGGGAAAGTACACAGTGAAAAAGGCCTTGGCATCCTTGGTCTTGAAATTAAGTCATAGGGGTCTGGAACTGCCAGGCCCCTGGTAGTCCAGAGGCATGAGTGCGGGGTAGGGGACTGGGACAAGCAGGAAAGCATCATGTTGGAAGGACTTGGGAAGGGTCAGCACCTATGGAAAACCTTTCCTGTCCTCGCTTGGAAGGGATTAACCACATATCAGCCCAAGGTCTGTCTCCTGCCTGTGGCACCGGCTGGTGTGTCAAGTGACAGTGCAGCAGCAGCGGAACCAGTTTAAGGTGTGGTAAATGGCAACAGATGGAAGCTTCCAGTGTCCCAGAAAACAGAAGCATCCATGCAGCACAGTATGGTAGCAGGTCCCCACCTAGCTTGTCATCTAGGAATATACAGTGAGGCTTCCCCATCCCTTTAACGTAGCTTTTAAAAATTAAATTAACAAGAGTCCACCACTTCAGTGTTTGGAAATGCTGAGATCAAAGCATTTCCCTCAGTGGAGCTCATGTCCCTGTGTCACCCCCAGCCTGTAACAGCCCTGCTGTGTGTCACCGCAGGCCGAGGGCGGAGGAAGGCAGGATGCAGGCGGAGAGGGAGCCCAGCACTGTGTCTCTTCCGTCCCTTGGGAAGGAGCTGTTGGTGTGTCCTCCCGAGTCTCCCATCCTTCAGCAGCTACAAGGAATGAGTCAGAGGGGCCTTTGGGCAGGTGAGCTCAGGCTCCAGCCAGCCACCTGCCCAGGGAGGGGTTTAAGGCTCCACCAGGCAGCTGTGCGCTCCCCACACAGCTCTGCGGCACGGTTTTTATCTGGAAATGTAGCCGCACGCTATTAACAGACCACCAAGGGGACTGCCCACCCTGCTCCCCTTCGCAAGCCTCTGCCCAGTCGCTATCCACCTGCCGATTCCTGCAAACGCCGTAGCTACACAGCCACTGGCTCGGGAGTGCTCGGGGAGTACCCTGGGCCTCCGCTGAGGAAGGAGCAGCGCTACAGTTTCCGTTTGCACTCCAGGCTTTGTTGTTCCACAGGCTGCATCCCTTCAGGTGTGTCTCTTAGCAGGCCAACAGGAACCATCGCTCACCATTTCCTATTTGCCATAGGAGTAAAGGCAGTAAAACAAGAAGGTAGGAATGGCAAATGCATTTTACACCATTTTTACTTCTAGGAGGAGGAAGAAGGGATGTCATCTGACTCTACAAAACCAGCAACTGCACACATAGCCAGCTTGTACACATCCTGTGGAAAGGGAAGTGAGAAATAAGCAGAAATCTTTCCCTGTCCTGACCTCCCAGCTTTTTCTATTTTATGCTAACCCTTTTTGAGAGGAAATAGCGTCAAAAGTCATGAAGAAAACACAAGCCCGTTAAGAGAGTCGTGTGGAAGGATGAAGCTGAGGGAGGCCAGCACTTCCTTCACAGCAGATGACAATGTTTGAATGTGTAGCTGCACATTTCCAACCTAAACATCAGCTGTAGCTGAATCCCTGCACTGCAAACAAGAGCTAAGGCCCGTGACTCAGCGGTCACGCCGACTCCAGAGGAAGTGTACGTAAAGGGCAGACTGTTCAGGATCTCTGAAGAGGCAGAAGCATGCTAGTTCAGTTCCTCAAGTGCAAACTTGCATTTCTTTTGCACCAACCTCAGTCTACGAGACCTAACACAACCCTGAGATTTCAACTTAAACCCTTCCGACAGAAAGCCAAGCGAGCCTTCAGCATCCAGCGTGGAACACGGCTTCCCTGCTTTCTGTACGACCTTCGTGAGAGACGCAAGGCTCCTTGTTAGTAAGAAACGAGGGGAGTTTCTTCAGAGTTACGATGCAGTGTTAAGACAACGGGCTGAAAGCGTGTTCAGGTTTGTCTTGGTGAAATCCTCCACTCCAGTGGACTTTAAAGTAGGTCCCGAATAGCGTTTTTGGTGTAATTTTGCAGTTCTCCTATTCCGACTGTTGTACAAGTCCCCAGATAGAAGCAGCAATACTAAAGAACCATTTGGAAAACAACATTAACAGGCAAAGGGGGAAAAAAGCCGCAGAGCACTTTCAGGTTACCCAAGGCAATTGCAATATTTTTCTCAGAAGTTAAAAACCCCACACTCTCCGTGTTCAGAATTTAAACTGCAGAGTAAGTGTCTGAAGCAGAAAACAGGGGACTTCACTTACCAACCGCAACAACATCCTTTTACACAGACGCCACATTCCTTACCCACTTTCAAAAGTACATTCCCCTCACGTAGGATACACAGCAAAAGGACACCCCCTTTTCCAAATCAATAGTGCTTGCACGCCGTTATTAGTGAGCTCTCCCAGTTTCAGAACAGCAAACATCCAATGATTTAACAATATAAATGTTGCTTACCAAAGTTTTAATCAGAAGTATAAAATCTCTATGTAAAACCCCGTGCTACAGCCTATCTGTACAAAGGCCAGGAAATGGGTTCTTTTTTATTTCTTATAACAAAGTGCTACTGCAGAATTGACCGATTCCTCGGGGACATTTCTGAAGGAATACAGATTGTTTGGCTCAAAAAAAAAAATCTAAGTTCAGAAGATTACAAATCAGTTTAGTTTCAAGGCTGCACAATGGAAAAAAAATAAAAATCTCTGGAGTTATGGCTATGCAACCAAACAAATAGGCAAATTTTCATCTTCTCTAGACTTATCTCCTCACTATCACTGCAAACGTTTCCATCTACTTTTAGTCAACACTGAGCACCATCAGTTAGTCCCCGTGCTGCAGCCCGAGCGGTTTACGTGCTGGTGCTCACATGGCTGTTGGAACATTCCTAGTCCATTAGGCTTCCGCTCGGCTGATTTTCTGTCAAACGGACCAGGAACGAATGGCCAAGTATCTTCTCAGCGGAGAAGCCCAACAACTTCTTAAAGGCCTCCAGCTGTACAGCAGCACTTGTCTGTGACCCCCCTAGGAAGCCCTATTGTAAATGGAGCAATCCTGTCCGCTTTTCCCTCCACCAGTGAGGGGCATGGGACAGAGTGAGTGGGAAAACCTCTAAGGCAAGAGTCCAAAAGAGGTGCTCAACTCCCACCTGAGCTGTAAAATACCTCTTCCTTTATAGAGTAAGGCTACCACATCAGATTTTCCCAGACATCCTTTTTTTCCAGACTCCTTCAAGCAGAAAGGAGAGAACTTGTCCATTTATTTGGGATTTCCAGGTATCAGGCGGTCCACAGCAAGAGCAGTAGCTGACACCTGGAAGCCCAGGACAAGCACTCAGACCAACCACGTGTTCAGTGCATTCCTGTGCAGAGACAAGCACAGCCAAACCGTGCAACGCGTGTGCTGCAGCCTGTGTTCCAGACCCCAGGAAGGCAAGTCGGAGCAAGAACAGAGCTGTCCAACATCTGGAACCTGCAGGACAAACGGCCACGGTAATAACACCTGGCCAGCCCCAGACACATGGGCCCACGCTACCTGTACATACACTCACGCTGTGCTATAAAATACGGGAGCCATATACACAAAGTTACAGTTGGGGAAGATAACGACACAGGAAACATTCCCAAATATGCCTCCATATGTTCCAGGTCAAGCTCCATTATTCTGCACTAGATCGCGGCAAATACGACATTCACACTTATACCTTTAATTTTTCCATATAAAGTATCAGGTACTCCTCCTATCTGTATGGCAAAGACGGTATTTTTGAATTGGTCCATAACACTGCGGTGCATCAAAATCAGATTTTGAGCATTTGTTCAGCGGCTGCTAAATGAAAAAGAAAGTTTTCTGTAGCTGGTGGAAAGCGCTTTTCCTTCAGGGCCTCAGGGTTGAGGGTTGGTTTTTCATTGCCATCAGAAACTTCAGTAAGTGAGGCTAAAGTAGCCAAAATCTCTTTTGTCTTCAGAGAAATATCCTTGAAAAACAGCAAAACAAGCAACCATGAGTGTAGTATTAGCTATTATACATACGCTTATTTAGAAAAATATCAATAAATAACAAAAATAAAATAAATGGGTTCCCTGCCCATGGCAGGGGGTTGGAACTAGATGATCTTTAAGGTCCCTTCCAACCCAAACCATTCTGTGATTCTAAATAAGTTGTTCATCTTAAATAAAGACTCCATTTAAGGCAAATCTGCAATGGCCCTTCTATCTGCTCTGTGCAACGCTGAATAAAGGGAGCACAGCCACACCACAGGCTCCTCTTGCTGCCCCAGCTGAGCTTTGTTTGACTAGGCAGAGGGTACAAGAGATCAGGGACAATATTCCCCATGCTCTCCTCCTGCTGCCAAGATCTAGTGATGGAAGTAATTTAACTAGATTCAAAATAAAAATACAGTATTAACCTTAATGACTTGGCTGTCTGATTTATCAGGATCTTCTGCAGATTGAACGATTAGTTGTCCGATTTCCTTGTGAAGTTTCCCCATTGTCATTGTCTCTGAGCCGGAAAAAACAAAAACACACATTTACGTAAAATGACCATTTCCGTGGTATCTAGAAGTGCACAGGAATAACAAGCGTCCTCTCCATGACTGCCACTCGAGATCTAGTGTTAATGGCGGTAACCATGAAGGCACAGGCCAACTGTCTGCCTCTAAAGCAGCCCTGAGCAGATGACAAACAGCATAGCTGAACACCCCCAGTCTCCACGGATTTGGTGCAGTGTTTTCCTAAAGGCTCATGCGGTATCTCTACATTCAGCAACCCTCAGCTCAACGGCTCTTCCATGGAACTGTCTAACATAGATGTTCATTTCTCAACTGTGCATTTGTTGGAAAACAAGGCATGTCTTTCCAAATCCCAAGTTTCACCAGTCTTCCAGGGTCTCAGTAAAACAGAGATAGAAGCTTACATACTGGCTTTTCAGAACCAGGATCAAGACCACCTGACCTAC